AAAAAAAGCATGCATAAGGCTGACCCACTTGATCACGAGCGTCGTTTATGAGTTATTCCCACGGTGCTAAGAAAAGTACATGGCTACACGGGTTTCGATCATCATGCTAAATATGTCACAAGCAATATTTCGAGTCACTGAGATGTTGCGCCTCATGCCTGCGTACAAAGATATGATAACAACAACAAAACCATGAATTTTTCAATGGAGATTTAGGCATGGTAATTTTTTTTTAATCTTTTTCTCTTCTTTTCTCACATTTATTTCATTTTTTGCCCTTTTTCTAGAAATATTTTCCTTCTCAATACTTTTTTATTGAGATAGTGAGAGAAAGTTGAGGAAAAACATAGAGAAAGAAAGGCAGAGAGAATGAAAGGCGAAGAAGCCATGCATATAGATGGTGAGATAGAGGTGGTGTTGAAGTTTAAGAGCCAATAGTTTAGAAGTTACTAGTGGTGATTTGAGGTCGTCGATGAGGTGTGGTGGTGAGCTCAAAACTGCTAGAGTTGAAGGGTAAGTGTCAGGTAAAGGAAATAAGGCCATCTGTGGTCTTAATTTACCAAGATCTTTCGTCGGGTTGAGGTTGTGATTAGCTGACGGTTTGGGCAAGATATTTGAGAATAAGCATCTGAGGTTGTCACAATTGCAGGATCAAGAAAGTTAGTGTTGAAGCTTGCTGACATGTGGTAGAAGGCAGAGAGGCTTGGCGGCAACTCGGTGACTGACATGATCTGGAAGCTTGACGGAGAGCTCATCTCATGAAATCCTGTTCTTCACTGATTGTCAACTATCCCGTTAAGGCATCCAACAACGAGCACCTGTTATGAATTCCTTACTCCAAATTTGACGCCTTCTCTAGTGAACTCCCGTCGTGATATCTTGTACAGACAAAGCCTATTTACCGTCGATCATTTGAGTGGGAGAGAGGAGGAAGATAATAATTTATGGGCACGATCAACGAGATTCCAGGGTGACCATTGTTCAGCTTTTAGGTACCAAGGTTCATATTCTAATAACATGGTTATTTTCACTTCCAACCATTTCTGATGTCCATTAGTATAACGAAGTGATTTGAATCAAACAAACAAAACCAGTAGATTATTAATATCCCATTGATTGTATAGTTAATTTTCAAGAACTCCAAAGAAATAAAAGTAAAAGCGCTAAAATAAAAGTAAAAACGGTAAATATTCAAAGGCACCTTTCGATGCAGTGCTTCCCGTGCACCTCCTGGATAAAGAAGCACAAATGATTTCTGCTGAAGGAGCCTATATATGTTCATCGGCGAAACGGGTAATGCACCAAAGACATTCAATTCGTCAAAGCGAGAGAATTCTTGCCGTGAAGATTCTCTTATGTTTGAGAACAAAAATGGGTGTGCCATACCACGTATGATGATCCTTTTCTCCCTTAGGAATGCTTCATAAATAGAACTAAGTTCAAACCCCATCAACATATGATAACCCACTAACAAAACAGGGCCTTTATTTGGGACGCCACTGAGACCCTTCACTATTCTTCCATTTCCAAGGGTGGACAGCATTACTGGACCGATTGCAAGGTGGAATAATCTGAAATTAATCACCAAAACATGAAGAGAACTGTGAGATTAATTGAAAGAAGTAATGTCAAAACCCGTTTTCAAACTCAAATTCTAGTTAAATTGGATAGGTACCTATCCCCTTGCTCAAATGTTTTCCGAAATTCGCCTATTGTAGGAGGAAGATAATCTTCAACAAAGTCAATTTGTTTAGAACGCCGGTACATATTAACACCTTTAATGATAGTCAACAAATTAATTCCATTTTCCTGGATTAAACAGCAAAAATTCAGTAACAGTATCAAACACATAGTCCATAATCAGGATATAATATATTTATTCAATAACATTTAAAATTGGGAACGAGAAACTTCAGAAGTGACAGCAGTAAGATAAAGAGTTAGTTTTATTTCAAACACCATTTCTCCTAAATTGTTTTCAATCAAACAAAATTATCATCGCTAAAACAAGCCGAATGAATTGTTATCAATACAGAAATGCTTATTGTCCCTTAAGAGACCCTAACACTCCCCAATTAATTTAAACAAAATAAAAATAAAAAAAATACTCTCCTGCAATATATGGAGTACAGTTTTGAATTATCTAGATAAAACTAAGACTGGGAATACAACTTACAAAAAGTAATGCATGGCCGCTGTCCTTAAAATAGCGCACACTACAGTTTTTAAGTGAAGACCACAATCTTTCTGCTTCATCCTTGCTCGGTAGCAAGTTATCCTTCCCACTGAGTCATAAAAATTCAATTTTAGATCAGATATCATTGATTTCAAATT